TTTTTCTTAATTAATTTAAATAAAAATTATCAAAATCGTTGAGAAAACACAACTAAGGTCAGGATGTTTTGCTTAAAAAAATATGTATCATCAAAGTTGATGGTAAATATTTTGATTAGAGTTTTAATTACGTATTCAGTCTTTGCGTCGATATTACTCTAAATATACATTATAATCATAGATAAGGATTATAATAAACACAATAAATTGCACGTAATATAAACGAATATTTCAAGATTTGCAACATTAAAATTGTTCGATATAAAGAAAAATATGCAGTATTTATAAAGATAGGCTAAAATTAAAACGTTTAAATCTTTTCTCTTATACCGTTTCCGATAAAAATTATATCAGTAGCAATTAATTAATTATAAAAAAGTTTACCAGGTGGTCCCACAAAAAATCCATTTCCGTGTCGAAAACCCTGATAAACTTGACCTTCGTAATAGGACATATCAGACCAAGTGTACGATCCAAAGCCGTGTGGAAGATTGTCAAAAATTCTCCCTAAAATAAATCTTAAGTCGCAATATGAAATTACGCAATAGATGTATTCTATTTAAAATTACTTGATATATTGTTCCATTGCTCCATCTGTACAATCCTTTGCCTTCCATACCCTTTCTGGAAACTCGTCCAATATACATGCCACCATTTTTGAAAGTGATCGTACAATCTTCATCTGAAATAACAGGTTTCCAATCGGGTAAGGTTCTAAAGACGACATATGAGATTGGGTAAGAGAATCCGGAAACACGTGTTGTGGCGCATTTTTTAAATCGTTATTTAGCGGCTCTTCGATCAAAGTTTCCAGCGGAGAGGTAACATCTTCCTTTGAAAAAAATTATAAAAAGTGCGATAAAAAATGTTATGCAAAAGTACAAATTATAACTAGTTGAAAGTGGCATTTAGCCCTAAGGCAAGTTTCATGAACTTCCCGAAATGTGTAAGAATTGACTTAATCAATCGAAATAAAAATTTAGAGAGAAAAATTTTCAACAGTTTATTTCAAAAGTTATCGCTCTAAATTAAGTCTTAACATTACGATTTCGAATAGAATTTTCTCAACACGTTTAAATTATCTGTAACTATATTAATTATATTGCACAGACACGTGCTTGTATGCCCTAAAATTGTAGTTTTATTTTAAATTTTAATGAATTGACAATGTTTGACTCATCACACCAAAAACTTTTGACACAAATTTTGACTATAATATTTCACAAATTTGATGAATTTCTAGCATTATAAACTATTTATAATAGGCCGTAACATTTGATATTTAAACATAGTTTATAAGACCATGATATCTATTGCCAAAATAAGATTCATTAAAATCGGCAATTTTTTTTTTCAACAGTTAATTTCAAGAAAACGACTCGGTAGATTTTTACCTAAAACTAATCAGTATCGTTCCCAACAATAGCTTTCGAAAAGTTTTTGATTTTTGAAATCGATTCAGAATTGAGAGCTAAAACTGGACCAAACATTTTCACTTTTCTGCTATTGACAAAGAAAGCTCAGCCGAACGTTGCACAAAACTGATAAAAGATTGGCCTTTAAATTTTGTTTTTAAGTAAACCTCGATGAAAGTTCTAATTTTGACAAACGCCAAAAAACGATACTAAGTTTTGCACACTTTGACGAATTAAACGACTTGTCGTAGGGCCGTCTACCATCAAAAACAAATTCGTAAAAATCGTCAAAAAAAATTAAAACACACTTTAAAAAATACTTTATTCCAAGAAAACAGCTCGGCCGATCTTTACCAAAAAACTAATCAGCACGATTCCCAACCCAATTTTTCGAACGGTGTTGAATTTTCAAAATCGATTCAGAATGCGGGCTAAAACGTAGACGAAATTTTTTTCACTTTTCTGCTATTTACAAATAAACAGCTTGGCTGGTCGTAGCGCAAAATTGATAAATGCTAGTCCTCATCGAGATACATCGAATGGCTTTTAAATTTTAAAATCGGTCCAGCCGTTTTTGAAAAAAGTCGATTTTTGGCAAAAAATCTGCTCACATACACACATATTTTTTCCAAATTTAGTCTCATTCGGTTCAGAATGGCTCGAAACTTTGCTTTTTGATGAAAAACAATCTTCTTCAGGAAGTTAATAAATATAAAACAATTTATATTGTAGATAATGAAAAAACTTATATCTTACCAAGTTTTGAGACAATATTCCCTTTCAGTTCTCAAATTTCAGAGCTGGTTTGGTAAGAAGACAAACTCGTCCGTTTGGAATCTTTTTTATTTTTACTTCTAAAATATAAACATGAATATATTATATATTTCAGCAGATAATATATAATAATAAGCATTTACTTACTGATAGAAAAAATTAAACTTATTAAATATCATTACTCTGCCTCCATATTAATTAATATGAAAGCAGAGTAATATTTATTTAATATGTTTAATTTTTTCATATGAATTTCTTAAGAAATTTTATATGATCCATACAATTAATTTATTTTATCAGATAATTAATATCATATAAAAATATTACTAATCCTAGATAATATAATTATAATAGATATTTATTACAGCCACATACCCTTCTTTTTTAATGATGATCTTCTGCTGCCTGCTGAAGTTTTAGATCCATTCTGACCACTTTCTCGACTCGATGAAAGAGAAGAACTCTTAACACTTGTGTCACAATAATTTGGAATGGCTCAGGTTTCTTGAACTGTAATTTTATTATTTAAACTAAATTATTCAATATAACAGAATATATGAAGAACGTTAAAATATTTTTCTAAAAACAATCTTGAGCAAGTTCTTGAGTAGTTCCGGACAGATTTATGCAAGATGTGTACTACATGTAGTATAGATTTACATTCATTAAAGTAAAGATATAAATTTAAATATATACTTATATCTCACTACTTAAAAATATACAAATAGTTCCATGTAAATACACCTGCTCGTAAACTTGTAGCATTTCTAAAGTTTCTGCTTTTATGGGTAATTTAGTAAGTATTTATTTATTTTTTGCTCTAATAAACGTTGACCACCTTCTTCCCCCAAAGAATTCGAAAATATAGTTAATTTGAGCTATAAATACATAAATGATTTAAAATAAGGTTTTACTTACATATTTTACAGCAGATTTTTCATCCCATGTATCCACAATTATTTCTAGTAAATCATTATACATTGAGAGTATTAACTCATCATCAATACTAGGCTTTCTTCTTTCTTCTGCTAAATTTCTATCAGAATGACATGAAAATCAACAGTGCTCTTTCGAAAGAAATCACTGTCACTTTTGTGTAAAGAAGCATGTGATAAACCTCGCACTTTTAGTAAATGGTTTTGATAAAACATATTTACGCGCGAAAAAGATTGGGCAGAATGTTCAGAACTCATTTTATCAAAAATAGGTTTAATATGTAAAATTAAAAGATAGTGTTTTGTTTGAAATATCTTTATTATCTAAAAACAAATACTTTATAAGTTCATGAACTTTTAACTTTTCTGAGTACAAATATTTCTAAATATTTAGACATTAGACTAGAGTGGATATTTTTGAAATAAATATTTTCCAAAAAACAATGTAAAACTATTGGGACATCAACTTCATTTTATCCATTCCACCAAATATTATTTAAAAAAAATCTTTCAATATAAGTATATACGAGAGATTTATGAAAATTATGGATGTTCGAGAAATAGATTACCATGTATACATTTTCTTTTTGTATGTGATACATTACATATGGAACCGTGAGTTTATTTATTATTTTTTTAAATTAATTTTAGTTTAATTATTCAACATGATAAAAACTTTAATTTTCTGTAATGTGCAAATAAGTATGTATTAACAATATATTTAGAATTTAAAAAAAAGATGTTTACAGTGCAAAATCACAATAAAAATCATAAAAAAGAAGCATATTGTGAGTAATTTCAATATAGCACGCAAATGAAAGTT